TTCTATAGCATTCTCAGCATTATCTCATATAGGACCAGGTACTCTACAGTTTGATGGACTCATATAAACTAACAACATGCTTTGTTCAGGTCGGTGAAGTCGACACACATCTACCACTTCCCATTCTTCTTTTTTACTATGACCACATTGGCGACCCACTGAGGATACTTTGATTCTCGGACGGAACCATTAGCGAGCAACTTATCGTCTTTTTCGCTGACTGCCTAATTGATTGCAACATTGAACTTTCTCCTCATTTGTCGTACGGGCGGGTAAAGAGGGTCGACATTCAGCCTCTGTGTGGCGATGTCCCTTGGGATTCCCAGCATATCTAAATGGGAAAAGGCAAACAAATCGGCATTGTTAGTTAGGAACTCATGGAACTGACCTGGTTCTGAGAGGTTGTGTCCAATATAAGCTTTTTTCGTGATGTCGGTATTATCCAATTGAACGGGGTCAAGGTCTTCTACGGTTGCCTTGCAGGCTTCCACGACATCCGGGTTTTGATGGTTTCTATTTGTATGTCGGGTTTGGTTCCCAATATGGCTGATTGTTATGCTTCCGCACTTGCCCCCTTTAGTTGTTGGGTGTATGTGCAATCTTGGGCGATTCGGTAGCACTCTTGGGCGATGCGTTGCTCGCCTCAGATGCTGAATATTCCCTATAGGGTAGGAAATTTGATTACTTGATAGAAACTTGACGGGACGACTCGCATGGCATGTATCCATGGATGCCATGTAATGGCGTTATAGGCTGTTTCCTGGTTCATGACGTGAAACGTCGTTTCCAGAGTGACTCCTCTTGCCAGAACGGGTAACACTATCTCTCCTGAGGTTCGTTCCACTGCATTATTAAAACCTGTTAGTGTTATGCAACGTGGTACTATCTTATCCTCGAGTCTCATCTGCATGAGGACTCGTGGATAAATAATACACGCGCCGCTTCCGTCATCCACCATTATTCTTTTTACATCGGTATTCGCAATACGTAAAGTTATAACCAAAGCATCATAGTGAGGGAAATACAAACCGTTGGTATCTGACTTATCAAAGACGATACTATCTTCGAGGTCATCGTACCGTTCGTGAACGACTGTCCGCTTGAGTTTGTGTGTAGTGGTGAATTTCACATGGTTGATTACCGTATCATCGCCGCCGCCAATGATCATTTGTATGGTACGAGCTGGTGAAGGTGGTTTTGGGGGTCCTTTGAGGTTGATCACGTCCACGAGCGAAGTTAATTCGTCCTCGATCGCTCAGCAGTTCTTTTAGGTATCCCTGATTTAGCATTCTTACCACTTCTTGTCGCAGACCTATGCAATCTTCGGTCTTATTTCCTCTTTCCTGATGGAATTCACATAGAACGTTCGATCTCCGGGTGCTCAAATCTGACTTTATCTTTTGCGGCCACTGCACCTTTGTGCCGAGCTTGTCTAGTGCATACACTATTTCTGAAGGAGAAACACAAAAATTATGAGCACATAACAGTAGGGGCATACCTCTTTCGTTGCGATATGGCGCGGTGTGTCGAGGAATGGCATCTGCATGTCGTGGAGGGGGCGGGATGGATGTCCGGATGTAGGGCTGATGCCTTTCTCGATTGAAACGGGATAGTTGGTCCCTTCGACCATCGTTGCGGCGATCTCTCCTTGTCTCGGTTTGGACCGATGTTAGCCGTTGGATCGGACCATTTAGGTCATCCTCGTCTGCCCTTACTTCGGCATAATAGGCATTATGGATTTCTTCCCACATGGCGGGAGGGTACTTCATGAGTCTACTTAGCAGCTTCTTGGTTGCTTTTGACCCGATTTTGTTCAACCCATTTTGGAAGGCTGCTACCGCCATCCCTTCTGATACGTTTGGTAGGCTCATTCTTACCTTGTTGAATCGGGCTAGGAAATCCCGAAGTCCTTCGCCTGTTGTCTGCCTGACGGCGAAGATGTCATTTACCCTGGCCTCTGCCTTTTTCGCTCCCGCGTGAGCGATGACGAATTTATCTACATTTCTTCGAACGTTGATATTGATCGTGCTGGTAGTTGGGAATACCACGTCAATGCTCCCCCTGTCAGAGTTTCGCCGAACTTTTTCAGCAGCAACGATGGCACCTATTCTTTCGACAGATCGTTGCCTTTTACTGCAGTGACGTAGTGGATTATGTGATCTTCCGGGACCGTGGTGCCATCATATATTTTCAAGTATGGCGGCATTTTGAAGGTTTTTGGAATAGAGTGGGGAGCCGCCCCTTCACTATATAGTTGTTCGACGAATCGGCCTACTTCACGTTTTGGTAGCAACTTCAGAGTGCCCGCTATTTTATCGACCCTTTCGTGATGCTCCTTCATCTAATCGCGGAGCGTTTTGTTCTCATTTTCCATATCTTCCATTTTCTTTAAGATGGTCGTAAGTGCATCGTTACCTGCATCAATGACAACATGGGTGTTACCTGTACGTGGAGTTTCTGGCTCATCGGTGACAGTTGCGGTTTTTGCGTGTATTGTGCCTCCGGTATCCCTTTGAACGGGTTTGTCGAGTATGTTGCTCAAGGTATTTGTCAACCATTCTTCTAATAGCCTTTTCACAGCCTGTGGTNCATCTCCCTCAGGTGTAACGCTTGGCATTACGTTTTCATTGCTTTCCCTGCCGGCTTCGTTGATGGAATTCAGAAGGTTGTTCATGACACCTACTATTGCCTTTAATCTTGCTTCCCCCTTTCCTGCCATTCTTGGTCTTTTCGAGGCTAAGAAGACGAAACTAAAATTTTGGCTATAGAAATCCCCATTGACGGCGCCAAATTGTTTGACTCAAAAGATATTGTAACTTTTTTGAATAAATCAATCAAAGAAAATGAAGGAGTAATCTTAGCTAAGTATAATAATCTCTAGAACCAAAGATATGTAAGGTGAGTACAATGGATAATATTTTTTGATGAATGATCGAACGTTAAAGATGCCAATCGTTTACGTAGGAAAATATTATAGTCAGTGTTCTTAGCTAGAAAGGTGAAAAAAACCCCCTTACAAGGTTGTTTTCCGGTTATATATAAGGGACAAACCCCTTCTGAACCCTAAAAGACATATTATAGGGAATATCCGAAGGAATATTCCTAATGTCCCCTATTGGACCTACACTACTGTAAAAGACGTGCAGTCTTTGTTCGCTTGTCTATCGTCCTTCACAAGACGTCGAGCTACGATAATCTCGTCGTTTGTCGTATTCATCAATGGTCGTGGTTGTCCAAATTTGAACCCGTACACCTACGTAGTTCGGCTCGGAAGATTTGCACAAATAGTATCATTTCGCCTGACAGTTCAAACTTTGTCCCCATTTAAGGAATATGCACCAAAATAACCTCGGCATTAGACATCCCGAAGAGTGAAACATTAATCTTTCACGAGATTTGTTCAGCGAGACATAATTTTAGTACAATCTTCATTCTGCCAAATCGTTTACAAGTCTTATCAATCGACAAATCTTGAATTGTTTACAAATTATGATGGGCGGACATAATTTTCATACGATCTCCATTTTACCTATCTTCCTAAATTGTTCTCAAGTTTTACAAAATTGACAAATCTTATCTTAATTACAAATTACGTTAGTGAATCATTACTTTAGACTTTAGTATACTGTTCATTACCTCTCCTCTTAATTTGTTCATAATTCATAAATCTTGCTGAATTGATAAATATTTCATGTATTGTTTAATTGGTCAAAAATCAAAGTTTTGCTCAAATCATCTGTTTCTTAAGAAATTGAAAGTTTAGTAGCTACAAAAATTTAAACTATGTAAACTTTGATCAATATTTTAAACTGTATTTTTTTTATTATATTGGCATGAGAAAAATATAATTTATATTAATATTTGTATAGTTTTTTAATATTTATATTGTAATTTTAAAATATTAAGTTAATCTAATACATCCTATCTCTCAGATTTATATCCCCCCTTTCTCCCCTCTCTTTTTCTTCTTTTCTTCTTCCTTCTCTCCCTCTCCTCTACTTTTCTGTGGTGAGACCATTCCAACCCTAACACCATTTCACACCAAATTTTACATCAAAATGGTGTAACATCAAATTTACTCCAATCATTACACCAACTTTTACACAAAAAAAAATATTTCTTCTCTCTCTTCTATATTATATTATTATCTTTTATTTTAATTTTATTATTTATTTTCTTCAAACAAATTCTATCTTTTTTTTTTCATATTCATCAAAAATAATTCACATTCACCACTTATATAATCATTTATTACAAAATTATTTTAAATCAATTTTAATGTATCCTCCTTTGATGTGCTTTTAATTATAATGTATTTTTATTTTATGTATTGTTAATTTTCTTTTTTAAATTTTAGTTTTCACTTTTCAATTTTTAGCAACATTAGATATCTTACATTTGCATTTTTTATTTTTAAATAATGGTTATATTTCTTTTTATACAATTATAATAATAATAAAATTAACTTATAATTTTATATAAATATAATATATACAAAATTAATATATATATAAAATAGGATATGAAATTAAAATTATAAAGATCGTAATATAAAAATTAATTATATACACAATATATGATAAACTAAAAGTTCAAAAAAATAAAAAGATGAATAAAATAATAATAAATCAAATTTGGTGTTGGTGTGACACTATTCATACACTATAATGATGCAAGATTTGGTGTTCTATTGGAGCAAAAAAAAAACCAAATTTTACATTAAATTTAGATTTGGTGCAAAAAATAGTGCACCCTTGGAGATGCCCGAGAGTATTGGAAACAATTTCTCTACCTTCACTAGGTAGGGTAAGGTTTGCAATACACTATCCTTTCCGGACCCTAATTATAAAAATATACTGAGTATGTTATCGTTATTGTTGTTGCTGAGTTAATCTAATTCAATTTAGCTTTAAAAAATTAGTTAAATTGACTCTGAAAAAAACGAATAAATTCAATAAATTGGAACGAAAGAAGCATTTTTATTTGTTGTAAGAGAAAAATGATCTTTTTTGCATGACAGAGAGAGTAGCCCACTGGATGCTCTTTCTGGGTCTGTACACTATATATATTTTTGAAACTTCGCCCAATTTCCATATCAATGGCGATAAGAACTCTTCTTCGCGCCAGAATAAGTACTCACCATTTCCCCCTCACAATCTTCCATCACAATCACATACCACCTACCAACACCAACATCTACAGCCATCAGTTCGCATCCCTTTTGCACAAAACTAATTTCACTTCCAGTCCAGACGTCCCACCCTCTAATTCACACCTAGTAATAAGTGAACTCTCTCGCATCCTAAGCGATTACAGAAATCCCCACAACGACATTGAATCAGCTCTCAATCCATTCTCCGACAAGATTTCGGCTAACATAGTTGAGCAAGTTCTTAAACGCTGCAAAAATCTTGGGTTTTCAGCTCACAGATTCTTCATTTGGGCAAATAAATTATCGGGGTTTTATCATAGTAAAGAAAGCTATCACATTCTTGTTGATATTTTAGGAAGTAGCAAACAGTTTCCTTTGTTGTGGGACTTTCTTGTTGAGTTAAAAAGGAACAAATCTTGTGAATTAGGTCAAGATATTTTCTGGCTTGTCTTTAGGTCTTCTAGTAGAGCTAATTTACCTGTTGATGCAATTAGGAGTTTTGATAAAATGATTGATTTTGGGATTACACCGAGTGTAGTGGATGTTGATCAGCTTTTGCTTGCATTGTGTAAAAGAAAGCATATGAAAGAAGCCAAACAGTTCTTTGATAGAGTTAAAGATGGGTACATGCTGAGTGTGAAATCTTACAGCATTATGATAAGGGGATGGGGAGAAATGGGAGAAGTAGTTGAGGCACAGAAACTGTTTGATGAAATGCTTGAGCGAGGTTTTTCAGTTGATTTGTTAGCTTATAATAGCATTTTGGAGTCAGTGTGCAAGGCAGGAAAAATGGACGAGGCCTATAACTTGTTCATGAAGATGAGGTCCATGGGATTAAGGCCTGATGCTTTTACGTATGCTGTTTTTATTCATGCTTATTGTGTAAAGGACGATATTCATGCAGCTTTTAGGGTCCTTGATCGGATGAAAAGGTACAAGCTTGTGCCTAATGTATTTACGTACAATGTTATCATCAAGAAGCTTTGCAAGAGTGACAAGGTTGAGGATGCTTACCAACTGATAGATGAGATGATTGAACGAGGGGTAAAACCTGATTGTTGGAGTTATAATACAATCCTTGCTTGTCATTGTGATCATAGCGAAGTCAATTTGGCACTTAGGCTGATCTCAAGAATGGAGAAGAACGGTAGCCTGCCAGATCGTCATACATATAACATGGTGCTTAAAATGCTCATAAAGGTCGGAAGGTTTGATAGAGTTGAGAAAGTATGGGAGAGTATGGAAGGCAGGAAATTTTATCCTTCAGTCTCAACATATGCTGTTATGATACATGGTCTCTGTCAGAAGAAAGGCAAACTTGAGGAAGCATGTAGATATTTTGAAATGATGATAGATGAAGGGATCCCGCCATATGGTGAAACCTGTGAATTATTGCGGAATAGACTTATAGGTTTAGGATTTGCAGAGCAAAAAGATATTCTTGCGGATAAGATGGAAAGAAGTACTTCTTGTTTAATTCAAGAGCTAACAAACATAATGAGAGGAAACAAGGCCCGTGCCAGATTGAGACGTGAAGAAGAAACTCTGATAGTGATGAGTAAAAGAGTTCAATGTGCCGGAGAAGTAGAATAGCCTCAATTCCTTTGGTCAAGGTGATACATATTCTTAATGCCTGTTGTTTGTTTGCCGCTGCATGCTTGACATTTCTCTGTTTACTTTTACTGGTAGCAGCTAGTGATGTTGACTTGGTCGTTCTTGGAGGCTACTTCTCGCGGAGATGGAAAACTGTAGCCTAAGCAGCAAAACTTTCCTAATTGATCTTTGTTATAGCCAGCTGTAGCAAAAAAGGTGCTGTGATAAGTTTCTTGATCCGTAGCCAAATAAATGACTCTATTTGCTTGTAAAGTATCTAGATGTGGTGCAGCAGTAAAGCACCAGGTTTGCAAGAATATTGACCTCAAGTTGCATAAAGAGCTTATTGAGGTTCTATGAGTGGATATGTGGATTTGGACAACTGGCTTTCTTAGTAAAGGAATGGCGGACATGTAGTTATCACTTGGAATCCCGGGTTAACATTGGGCTCTGATGAATGTTGTGTTAAGCCACTTAGCTGAAGAGAGATCACTTTACAAGAATAAACAAGGGCAGCAAGATTGTTAGCTACTTAAATTAGCCTGTCAACCACTGCTCGAGGACACCTTTAAGAGTTTCCTTTATTGTTATCAGGGCATCTTTGAAATGCTCAAATGCTATCCTTCTGTGTTTTTGTTGGAACTAAAGAAGTAAATGTTGAATCCGGGGTTTTTTAGGAGATGCAGATGCATAATTAGTGAATGTGCTGCTTCTGCTATCTATTGTAGTTTCTAGTTTGTGAAGTTACTAGATCAAAGCTGCTGGTAATGTGATTCAGGAGTGTTGTATCAGTCTATGATTGCAGATGTGATGGCAAGTTGGTTGCTTGGGAATTGACCAGGAAGGGAAATTGCAAAAGGTGTTTACCAGTTCATAGAACAATCCTCCAAATATTTAGCAGCATGTTCCTTCGGGTAAGGTCAATGTTCTCCCCAGTCACTAGGTACGGTGATGATGAAAATATTGGCTCAAATCTTTTGGAGGATCTGATGTTTTTGTAGCTTGTAATGTCATTTTTACTTATATTTATGTCGTCATTTAAGTTTACTAAGTTTCCAACCTTTCATTTTACCCATACCCACCCATCTCCCTCATCCCAAGTAGGAGACTGGTTAATTTTTTCTTTACAAGATGAACAATAAGGCTTTTGATTGTTTACATGGTTCAAACTATTTTTTAAGGTTTGGCAACTTATTTGACATCTTTAGATATTATTTTAAGATGTAAACAAAGGCTGCTAGGGCCATAGCCAGCTAGTGGCGGAATGCATTTTCAAATCTCTACTACTCTTCTTTTCTTGATCTCCTCCACCCTTCAAAACAACAACAACTAAGCTTCAACTCCAAGTTAAGAGGTCGGATATATGAATCCTCGCTATCCATTTTGCTCTATTTAGGCCTGTTTCGTGCAAATAGTTAATAAATTAGCTTCTCTAACCTTTAGAAGTTCTCTATATTTCTACTGGCTTACAAATCTCAGAACAAGATTAAAAAGAACTCCTATCAGATATTGGTCTAATACGAGTGTACCAACAAAAATTCTCCAACCCAAAAAAGAAAAATTATTTTCACAATGGAAAGACGTAAATGTGAAAAGTCAGTGACGAAGTAATAAAAATGTTCATCTTCTTGGTCTGTTATCATCGCCCGGAAGCTACTTTGGAGTTTTCTAAGAGGTGGGTTCAAAACAAGTACACTTAGATTGCATAAATCTTTGATCTACTATCATTGCCCAATAAGGGCTGGCTTTTTCTTTTTGAAAAAAAAATGACAAGAAGAGTATAAGTCGAATTATAGACTACATTATTACTAACTGAAAAATTTGTGGTATAAGTCGAATATATTGATAGGATAATAGGGAAAATTTGATACTACTGACTAAACTGCTTGGGCTGCAAATATTAATTACTCTTGAATTTTCTGATGGATGGGTGCAAAAAGAGTTATGGTATAACTATAATTGTACTTGACTGCTGGTAACCTTTCCATGTAGGGGTTCTGATTTTTCTAAGTCAAACATATGACTGGCTAAAATTGCAGGCACTTGGATTTGGTTTTGTTGTTGAAATGCTGCAGCTATGGGTGTATTCGAGTAGATTGCTATGGTAGGCTGATTCAGATGAGGAGGGATGTGAGTTTCACAATTTGAGAAGTTACAGAGAATGTCTTGCCAACTGATACATGCTGGTAAAATTCTAGCTCAATTTCGCAAGGATGCCCGTGATGTGCAGTTGTGTGATGGTGTTGGAATAGCTCTTTCGCTGAACGCTACTTTGTTTTTTTCTTTTTTGATAAGTTGCTGAATTCTACTCTTGATTTGCCCAAGTTTGAAGTGGCTGCATACTTGAATGAATCAATATAATCAATTTTCTGAGCTTTATTTTTGTTACATCATTTTCTTTTCTGTTGGAATTTTGTATGCTAAAGGTACTTAATGAGTCTTTTAAGATCCTTATGGTTTTGAGTTGTTGAATCATTATGGTCTCTTGTGTAATCAACAGGACAATTGTCTTCTTGAACCTATGTGGCTTTACATTCTTTAGAGATTCCTTCTGAATCTAGCATTTGTTGACTACTCTATCTGATCATCACTCTGAATGACTTTTTGGCATCATATTTAAGTAGTTTTGTTGGTATATTTGACATAAAGTGATGTAAACTATTTCTTCCAACTTGAATGGCTTTGCTGAAGTGGTAAAGGAGCTTTCGGATGAGATTGCATCAAAAGAACATGCAAGAGTTGATTGCAGTAAACTTTATTGAGAACGTTCTTTGTGCTGGAGCATGTTGTATTCAATCGCTCTCTGCATTGAGTCAAAGGAGGGTTCCTTATCTCAAAAAGAATAAAAAAGAAACAAGAAAAGAGAATGATTTGAAGAAAGTATAGGTACTAACTGGTAACTAAAGTTTCCTTGAAATCCTTAGACCGATCATTTCTGCAGGCTGCTCTTCAGAGGATTTGGTTATTCATTATGAGTAATGCTTATTCCAATTTTTTTCATTTGGTGTACTTGTTATTTCAATATCTTAGGTACCCTGCTGCATGCAAAAGCTGCACTTTCATTCTTGTTATAGCACTTCGCTTTAACAGAGCATTGGAGAAGAAAGCATTTGAGCTTCTACAAGCTATACCAGAATCCTTCTTATCACTTCATGTGCGATTTCAGTCTGACATGGTAGCTTACAGTCAACGTGAGTACTCCAGTCTTTCTCCTATATTGGTAAATCATATAGAAGCTCGGCGGGGGGATATAAAACCTTGGATCTAATTAATGGACATATTTGGAGAAGCAGTGGGAAGTGCCCTTTTAAACCAAATGAAACTTGCCTCCTCCTTCAGGATCTCTTCATTCCTACAGACAACAACAATTTATTTGGCAGCTGGTGATGGCCTGAAGGAACTTGGCGGAGAGGAGTTATTATCCGAACATATTACTGGCTACTTAGTACTTACTATCCAAACATATACATGGATAAGATGGTTGCAGCAATGCGAGCTTTTAAGGGGTTGCGTAAGACACCCTCACACTGTTCTTTAGAAGGAGGGCTTTGGAAGTTAACCTATCAGGAGCTTAACTGGAAGGAATTAATAGAAACCCTGTGGCAGGTTCATAAAGATGATTTCATAATGGGTAGAGGTTCTGCTCTAGCAAACTGTTTTTGCGACCTTAAAGTATGTTGTCTTGTACCTGTTCCTATGTTGGTTCGTTTCTTTTTCTTTGTACCAGCTAGCTAGTTTAAAAAGAAGAGTTATAGCCCATTTCGCCAAGCTGTTATTTTGAGAAGTATTTTTTTTTCAAAAGTGCTTTTCTCAAAAATACTTTTGGTGAGAAGTAGTTTGTGTTTGACTAATTAATTTGAAAAGCACTTCTGAGCAGCAATTAGTGCTTGACCAAGCTTTAAAAAACTGCTTCTAAGTATATTTTTCTCGAAAGTGCTTCTCAAAAATGTGCTTTTGGAGAGAAACTATTTTTTTCTGCTTCTCCTCAAAAACACTTTTTTTCCTTCCAAAAGCTTGACCAAACGCCTCAATTTTTTGCAAAAAGTGCTTTTGTCCAAAAAAAACACTTTTGACCAAAAATAAGCTTGGCCAAACGGGCTATTAGTTAACTTCTATAAACTGACTAACGTTTACATTATTAGATGACTACGGTCTTAGGTAAATGTGCCATAATGAGCGGAAGGATTTAACCTGTCATAGAAGGTAACCGGGAAAATAGGATTGAAACTTGTTACAACAAGGAAAACTATGCTACACTAGGTTAAGTTATAATGATGGTATAATTTTTTTCACCTTTATTGTTATAAGTTAAATCTTAAAAAGATTTTCTTCTTTTAGATGCAGAGTTTTTTTATCAGAAAAATTGAAGGGTCAATTTATTCATGTATTTCAACTTTGCGTAGCTAGTTTTATATTGAGATAATTCCCTTGCTTTATATACTCGGTTTGTTTTCTTTTTTCCTTTCCTATTCCAGGTAAAAACCTCACGGTGTTAGCAAGTTGTAAATTATTTTCCATGGTTGCAACAATCATAGGATAACTTATATTTTACACAATGAGCTTTCGCATAAAAGTGATAAAAAGGGATATTATCTCCTTTTAGTTCTAAAATTTTATTATCAAAGCTTACTGGGTAATGAAATTATCTTTTGACTCTTGTGTGATGCCCTCGATTTTACCATAAAAGAAGAGGAGAAAAGGAAGCTATTACTCCCTCCGTCCAGATTTTTGTGTCGTACTTTCTTTTTTGCAAGTCCGGTGACCCTTAATGTTGAACGTAGGTCGCTTCTCACTAGTGCTACAGTTTTGTACTCCCTCTGTTTCACTCTAGGTGAACCTATTTCCTTTTTGGTGCATTTCAAAAAAATGACCCATTTTTAAATTTGATAACAATTTAGCTTAAACTTACAATTATACCCTTAATGAGAAGTTTTTATAACCACATAAATACTCTGGCCCCTTTTTGATTTGTTTAGAACCACAAATTCCAAAAGTCTTCATTTTTTGTTAAACTCCGTGGCCAGTCAAATAAGTTCACATAAATTGGAACGGAGGGAGTAGTATGTTTGGCCATTCAAAAATATTCTTTTTCTAAAATATGTTTGGCCAAGCTTTTAGAAAAAAAGATTTAAGTAGAAGCAGAAAGAGTTTTTGAGAAGCAGAAAAAGTAGCTTCTTCTCAAATGTACTTTTTTGAAAAATACACTTAAAAATATTTTTTTAAACCTTGAAAAAAATATTAATTGTTGTTCAAAAGTATTTTTTTAATTAATTAATTAAGTATAAATTATTTCTAACCAAAAGTATTTTTTTTAAAAGTACTTTTAAAAAAATACTTTTTCTAAATAAGATGATTTTAAAAATTTGACCAAACATGCTATTAGTTTCGTCAAACCATAACGTATAGACACTGATAGTTCAGAATATGACACTTGTCTAATCCACTTAAGATGCATCTTTTTATTTGAAACTCAAATCCATTTAACTTATATATAATTTATAGAGCATAAAATATTTTTGTACTGGTGTTGTATTTTAATTTATATAACAAATAACATAATTTATTTTTAAGTCAATCCACTCAAATTAGTGACCTCTAAGCTTTAAGTAATTGTGGGGCCAGAAGTGGCGAACTCGTGGCACCAGGCATGGAATAGGGACAGTTCATTCTCTCGAACACTCTTCTCTGCAGTAAATTAAAAGGCGGCACATTGTTGGAAGAATTAGCAAGAAACTTCTCAAAGCTTTGATACTCTACTACTACTGCTTTCTTTTTCAAGCTGCTGCTAGAAAGTTTTAGAGTTATCCTTACATTCTTATGAAACTGTATTGGTCAAACTTTGACTGTCGCAACCAAGTTGGTCAAAATAACGTATAGACACTGATAGTTCAGAATATGACACTTGTCTAATCCACTTAAGATGCATCTTTTTATTTGAAATTCAAATCCATTTAACTTATATATAATTTATAGAGCATAAAATATTTTTGTACTGGTGTTGTATTTTAATTTATATAACAAATAACATAATTTATTTTTAAGTCAATCCACTCAAATTAGTGACCTCTAAGCTTTAAGTAATTGTGGCCAGAAGTGGCGAACTCGTGGCACCAGGCATGGAATAGGGATAGTTCATTCTCTCGAACACTCTTCTCTGCAGTAAATTAAAAGGCGGCACATTGTTGGAAGAATTAGCAAGAAACTTCTCAAAGCTTTGATACTCTACTACTACTACTTTCTTTTTCAAGCTGCTGCTAGAAAGTTTTAGAGTTATCATTACATTTTTATGAAACTGTATTGGTCAAAATTTGACTGTCGCAACCAAGTTGACCGACCTCCCGCCTAAGTAATCGGGCAGCAAAAGTTAATATAGCCCACTCTATATCTCCTCCCCGATATCCGACGAGTCGGTAAGAACGACATCTAAAAGCACGACTAAGACACGTTTGAGGTAAGAGGACGTCGAGCCGAGCAAAGGGCAAGGGTGCCATGACTATATATAGTCAGGGAAAGCTTTCAACAAGGGGGGCTGCTTCTCCTATCTCCTTCAAAAGCTGAAAAGCTCTCTTCTAGTTTTCTTGATTGAAAAGAGTGAATCTCTAGGAAAACCTGTAAAGCGGTCTCCTCATCGATTGATGGGAGATACAATGTTGAATCTCAATAAGATCATTTATATTTCTTTCATCCTAAGTAAGATCCACACTGCTAGCTCTTTGATCTGGAATTTATTATGTCTGATTAAGATTTACCCCTTCATCTTTGATTGATTTGTTCAAAAAGGTTTCAATATCTTTTGAGACAAACAATTTGGCGCAGTCTCTGGGGATTTCTTAATGAAATTTCCTAGCTTCTCCTAGATCAAAGACAAGAAATACAATTGCTCACCAAAAGGAGCGAGAAGAGAAAATCAACCCACGCGAAACGAAGGAGCGCAGTAGGGGGAGGAGAGCCGAGCAAAATAATCAAGCTTAGAAACCTTCGCCCCATCAACTACCGATATGCCAAACAAGGCGAACGACATTACTAATCAATTCTCCCCCATCGGACCACCGGATGAGGGCAAAGAAAGTCTCATTCTAACTCGCCTCCCAGTCTCAACTCAAATAGGAATATAATGGCCACACAGGCGAACAAAAAAAAACAACACTTAAATTAAAAGACGAAAAACTACTGCAAAACAACTGTGATACCTCCCACCAGTGATACCTCCGAGTTGGAAGACAGGAGCCAGACAAGGGAACTACAATCCGTGCACAGAGCGAACCTAAGCAAAACAACAACATTCTACATTCTCCAACGTTGCACCCTCCGTTGCAAGCACTGCCAAACGGACTAGGACTCTCCCGCAAGATATCTGGCTCTCCAAAAACTGGGACTGACGACGGGTTACTATTTCGATAAGTTTGAAATAACACCCTTTAAGGCCAGGGGCCTTTGCCAAAAAGAAGAATTTGACCTCGATCGAATGACGACGGGTTACTGTTTTGATAAGTTCGAAATAACACCTTTTAAGGCCATGGGCCTCCGCCAAAAGAAAAGTTCGATCTCAATCGAACCACGACGGATTACTATTTCGATAAGTTCGAAATAACACCCTTTAAGGCCAGGGGCTTTCGCCAAAAAGAAGAGTTCAACCTCGTTCGAACGACGACGGGTTACTATTTTGATAAGTTTGAAATAACACCCTTAAAGGCCAAGGGCCTTCGCCAAAAAGAAGATCTCGACCTCGATCGAACGACGACGGGTTACTATTTTGATAAGTTTGAAATAACACCCTTAAAGGCCAAGGGCCTTCGCCAAAAAGAAGAGTTCTCCCTCGATCGAACGACGACAGGTTACTATTTCTATAAGTTCGAAATAACACTCTTTAAGGCCAAGGGCCTTCGCCAAAAAGAAGATCTCGACCTCGATCGAACGACGACGGGTTACTATTTCGATAAGTTCGAAACAACACCCTTTAAGGCCAGTGGCCTTCGTCAAAAAGAAGAGTTCGACCTCGATCGAACGACGACGGGTTACTATTTCGATAAGTTCGAAATAACACCCTTTAAGGCCAGGGACCTTTGCCAAAAAGAAGAGTTCGACCTCGATCGAACGACAACGGGTTACTATTTCGATAAGTTCAAAATAACACCCTTTAAGGCTAAGGGCCTTCACCAAAAAGAAGAGCTCGACCTCGATCGAACGACGACGGGTTCCTATTTCGATAAGTTCAAAATAACACCCTTTAAGGCCAAGGGCCTTCGCCAAAAAGAAGAGTTCGACCTCGATCGAACCACGACGAGTTACTATTTCGATAAGTTTGAAATAACACCCTTAAAGCCCAGGGGCCTTCGCCAAAAAGAAGAGTTCGACCTTGATCGAACGACGATGGGTTACTATTTCGATAAGTTCAAAATAACACTCTTTAAGGCCAGGGGCCTTCGCCAAAAGAAGAGTTCGACCTCTCGAACGACGATGAGTTACTATTTCGATAAGTTCGAAATAACACCCTTTAAGGCCAAGGGTCTTTGCCAAAAAGAAGAGCTCGACCTCGATCGAATAGCGACGGGTTACTATTTTGTTAAGTTCGAAATAAGACCCTTTAAGGCCAAGGGCCTTCGCCAAAAAGAAGAGCTCGACCTCGATCAAACGACGACAGGTTACTATTTCGATAACTTCGAAATAACACCCTTTAGCCAAAAAGAAGAGTTCGACCTCGATCAAACAACGACGGGTTACTATTTCGATAAGTTCAAAATAACACCCTTTAAGGCTAAGGGCCTTCTCCAAAAAGAAGAGTTCGACCTCGATCGAACCACGACGAGTTACTAT